ATCCTCCTACATCAAATTGACCATTACATACCAAAAACCTGGGGCATTCTCCTACATCAAATTGATCAGCTTGTCAATGTTTCGATTGCTTGAACATGAAGTCGCATATCCCATGCACTAGCTAAGCTACTCCACTGCGGTCTGCTTTCAAGTGTGAAGGTAGGGCATTCATCATCCATCAACATGTCAGGTGTCGTGCACCTTCTAAATCCCGCTAAACACATGGTCAGGTGCCATCTGCTCTACGTTGGCACTTGTACCACTGTTACTGAGCCTATCACAGCCATCAGTGGCTCGAAAACTGTCCTCACAATTGAAAACACTCCCTCATTGCCGGTTTCAATTCATGTGAACATCTGTCAGTAGGCTCAACCCCAAATACTGTAACGGTTGAACACAAAAAGTATCTGAAACCACCACCCAGCTATCTAAGGGGTCTGGGTGAGGTGGCCCAGGTGGTCTACACCTATCATGCTTCGTACATGTTGAGCAACAGCCACTTGCATACTAGGGTAGCGGCATGCCATTGCCAATCATCATCCACAAGGTACCTGCACTGATTGGCAATGCCCTACTCTGGTTGATGAAGAACAATTTTTCAAACAAACAAGTCCGCAAAGGTCACAAATACGATGGCCAATGGACCCTCCACTAATGGTCACAAACGAGTGGCTTCATACACCATGGGATCGGACTATCTTGTACTGAATATGAGACGTGGGACATGTACATGAGTCAAGCAGGTGTTCTTGCAATGAGGACTCCCGAATCCTGTCCGGAAACTTGCCTCTTGTAAGAAATCCATGAATTCCAAAACAAAAAAGGCCTCCATCTCTTACCATTGAACTGGCTGAAGCATGGCTTCTGGGAGAGAGAGCGCTTTGTAGCTTTAACGCAGTCCATCACCCTTTATCATGGTGCACCCTTTCAAGAGATCATCACCCAGTAATGACAAGAACAGGGAAATTTCATTCGGATGAGGGAGCCGATACCTGCGCCTGCTTGGGACAAACTGCGAAAACTGCGCCTGCTTGGGAAAAAGGGAGCACACCATGGGAAGGAAAAGCACCAAACCGGGAACATCAAAACACCCAACCCCCTGCTTTCCACTTCGGATTGCGCACTGGAGTCGCCAGCGACTCGTCCATGAAGGCGCCTCTCCATAGCCTCAGGCAGGGCACACCCGGTCTACCCGGCAGGCTCGAGTTCCTCCGAAAGGCAACACATGACCGGCGCCGGCCATTGGCACAGAATGGCCATGCGCCCAAACTTGGCTTCGCGAGGCCACCTACAAGCCATACTATACTATGGTGATTTTTTTGCAAAACATGGTAAGAATGTGGGCAAGAGACTTCGGTGCAAGCATGCGAGCCGTGCTCCGATGCAAAGCTAGCCATGTCGAGCCATCACCGCTGGCAACCTGACTCTTCAAAGCCGGCGCTCAAACAGCTTGGAAAGCAAAATCCCGGGAAACACGTAGGTTCGTGACAGAATCTTCATACATGAATGCATCAGTTAGTAAGTGTCTGAGTTCGGAGGGTCTTTCACATCGGAACTTGAATCGGTGCAGGAATGATTAATCATATCTCAGGGTTCCTCTGTGAGAAACAACTTTGTGGGATCCTCTACCACCTGGCCACTAGCCAGGGTGACCCACCACCAAAAAAAGAGCCGAGCCACCATCCAATCCCTTTCTGACCAATGTTATCCTCCAGTGAATTGATGAAGTCTGACCTTGCTGTGCCCCGCAAACATCGAAACGCGGATGTTCTGTGCCCCCCCACCCAGCGCGCGAGAAGCCAGCAACTGCAGGAGCCGATTGGTCTCTGCACAGTTCCTCGGACCCGACGGACCCGACGTCTGTTTCAGGTCACTGTGTAGACTCTTGATGAATAAACCCCCCAATATGAAGATGATTTTCCATGGGGGGGTATTTGTCTCAAGAGTCCAATTGGTGAATGGATGCTCAACCACTGTTTCACCATTCACCCACTGAAAACAGAACGCTCATCCCCGGCCTTCCCGCAAGGATATCTTGGGCTGTCAAGCGCAGCGGCTCCACATCTTCGTCCTTCCCAGGGAAGCCCAGCAACAGTTGCTTCGTTCAACAGTCCTTCCAGAAACACCCACACGACAGATCAAACATACCAGGACCATCCGGTGTCCAATGGACTACCCAACACTACTTAGCATCTCGAGTTGACACCCATTGGATGGTCCTGGTAGCTGACTGCCTGGCTGACTGACCGACTGACTGACCGCAAGTTCCCCATGACCATATTAGGTCGGATTCGCTTTTCTCTTCGAAACGGTTGACCTGTTCGGTCGAGGAATCACGACTGAGACAGATGTGACCCGACTGAGACGGACGTGACCCGATTCGTCATCCTTTGCAAACGGATCATTTCTTGAAAAACCATTATATAGCAGAGATACAATCCACCTGTCCAAACTGCACGGTGTTTGTGTTTGGCCCAATCTCCCCCAATAGATGTTTGTCTATGCGATGTGGTATAGGATTATATACAGTAAGTCAACTTCTCTGATCCCTTGCTTGCCTTGACCTACATCCCCACCTCACTGTCCGACAAGCCAGCCACCACTGGGCCTTTGACCTCGGAGAGCCGTTGAGTCAGTCCAAGACTGGCACCAGGACTTGCAGACTTGCACTTCACGCTGCATAAAGGTAATTAGGTCATGGATGGTCATTAGGACTGTTGAACACCCTTGAAGACTCCTTGAAGCACCTCCTACTGAAGGTGTCTGCCAGCTGGCACACCTGCCTCTACAAGCTGGCGTCCAGTGTTGAGGACCCAGCCGTACACTTCTCTGGGGGTTCAACTTGAAATATGATACATCATGATTCTTCTCTTCCAAAAAATGATGTGTGAACAATGTCTGCACGGCTTTTCCTACTGCTTTTGTTTCGCACATGTCTTTGCCGGACATCGGAGGACCCAAGCAGCATAAAGATCGATTCAACGACCCTAGATCCTAACATGATCAAATTGACCATTTTCCTTTCTAGAATCTTCAACCTCCGTTTCTCACCCTTTGCCAGAAATTGCGCACCTACTAGACTCAGATCTCTCAGAATCTGTTCCTTCACCCAGCGGCCGTATGCGCCTCCTCGATCAACCTGGTCGAAAGTCGAAAGGTCCATGAGGAATGTGGTGCGACCGTTGGGAAACATGGTCAGAGCCCAAACCATCCATAAGACCAAACCATCCACGAGCCTAAACCATCCATGGTCAGCCTATTTACCTACATTGGGGTGGTTTCAAAGGTCATTATGTATAATTATCCTATATTCCAGTTCCATGGATGCTCTGGGTAGATTTGTTGCTGTGCGTGGTGTTGGCGCACAGGCCTCCAAACAAGATAGACACACAGCAAGCCGACGAGCGCTCACACCTTAACGATCCTTAACGGCAAACACGACGACTGGAAGCTCCGGTTCGGCAAGTTGAGGAGACAGTCGGAGACAGTCTTTTGACATGTTCACATGTTGGACCATGTTGAACCCCAGCTAGCAGCCGTTTTGTGTAAACGTATGATTCATGAAAACGAAGACTGGTTGAAATAGCTGAGAGGGAACTAACTGCAAACACTGGTGAACACCAACGTAGCTTCCAACTGGAATGTGTAATCCCCCAAGCTCAATAAGCGACTCAAATAGTGGTTCCCCAACACAAGAAAAGTCGGTTTGCAAGTTGGTGATGTCGCCAGTCAAGTGGCAGCCACAAAGCTCTTACAAAATGCTTACCGTTGCGCTGATTGCCTGGCTCCCTGCCACACTCTCTTCTGATCTTATCTGATCTTATCCTGTGTTGATCTTCGGTGAGCTGTGCTCGGAACGAAAAGATGCTTGCAGCGCTGGGGCATCCATCAAAACAGTTATATAAAAATATTGATCCCCCGTTTATATCGTCAAAACACCTGTTGAATGGTACATTCAAGCCGGTGGTCCAGCCTAGACAGGAAGTCGAGCTTTGCTTCCTTTGTCAGGTTCTCGTAGTCTCTCACTTGCTCCTGGGCCAGGTTCTCAAGCGCTATTTTCACCTGGTCAACCTCCATGTCCAATTGGTCCAGCTCAACAAAACAACAACAGTAAGCGCGTTTTCGCTGCTCGATTGGCAATGAAATGAGTGAGTGAGTGAGTGACCCGGCAAAACTGGGCGCAAGGACCAAGATCCTGTGCTAGTTGCTATATACCTATATACTATATATCCCTGAAGAAACACGTCCAGCAATTCCCAGCCCTTGGACAAATTCCAACTGGGATAGCTTAAATCCTCATGATGCCTTTAATGCATACAAGATTCATGTTCTTCACTAGTGCCCGCGTGGGCCTACAAATGAAATAGATTGAAATAGCCATTCTCCCACCCACAACTGCAACTCTCCCATCCCTTCCTTCACCACTCTTCGGCCGAACAACAACCTCCGGGCTCCCCCAACTGATGGCTGCCACTTCTTAAAACTTCTCTTCTTGTGGAGCGCCCACGCCACCTGTGCCGCCGGAAACCACGCACAACCGTCCCACGGACCACCGTCCTGCGCGGCGACGTCCTGCGGCCTGGTGGACGCAGCGCACCGGCGGCCGGAGGAAGGTCTGCGGCTGCGCGAAGGCCAAGGCCTGGAGGACGGTCAGCGGTGCGGTGCTGTGGCGGTGGCGAGGCTGTGCGGTTCACGAAGAGGTGGAAGGCAGGTGGAAGGCGAAGGGGTGGAACTTCTGAATCAGAGATTTGCTGCATGACATATTGATGGGTCTTGACGGTCAAACATGACAAACACCGGACGTATACTTCTGTCTACTTGATGCCTCTTAAGCAGTGGCCGGCAAATACATGATAGAAACATATAGAAGCCTATATTGTCCAGGGGGGGCTTTTTTGGTTCAATCATTTTGCGGACACACAAGGTGACCACAACACCTGCCATTTTACCACGACCTTGAGCTTCTTGATCCAACCATGTCTGTGTGAATGTTGCTCGGCCACTGGACTGGACCGATCTCATCTTCACGTCCGACCTCTTCATCTGCGCCCAGGGCCAGTTGCAAGAGACCCAAGGTTTGCTGCCAATGCCCACTAGCAGGAAGACGTCCCTGCCTACAAGTCAGCCAAAAAGTTGCAAAACAACGCTGAAAGCCATGTCCCCTTTGCAACAGTGCGCATGGCCGGAGGGATTCTCAATGAGTCTTTGTCTTGCAACGGTGAACCATGTCATGTCTCTGTATTTGAAACACATGGCTTGAAGGATGCAGCCTTGGAGTTTCGCAAGGTCAACCCTCTAGTTGGCTACAAACTATAGGCAAAGCACTTCTGGGGCCTGTGGCCTGTGTCCTGTGCCCGTGGGAAGAAGTGCAAAGGTCCCAAACCTCTAGCTTCCTAGGAAGCCTTCTACTAGAATTACGAGGAATGTTCCAGGAATGGTCTCCAAATTTAGACGGCTTAAGTGTTTGACCTCGCAGTTTATGAACAACAACAACAACAACAACAACCACTCTGGGTCACTCTCTGCACCACATCCCACTTGATAATAACACTCCCACGAGCTGGGCCCCAAGCAAAGCGATGCCACAGATTCGGCCCACGTGAGGTGCGCGCTGCACATCGACCTGCCCGGATCGAGGTGCGCCGAGGCGTGGATGGAAGACTTGCGGGACCGTCGATCAAAACCCCGTGGCCTCCTAAGGGATCGACCTTAGTGGCTTAGTATATCTTGTAAACCAATGGAAGTGTCCAAGAGTATATATACCTCAGGACCGTGAAGAAAGCAACACTGTTGGATGGTGTAGATAAATTATGTGCAAGTACTTCATCCCTGCAAACGGCCAAAAGAGTCCATGTCATTTCTGGATCTTCTGGTCCGTGCAAGTCGTAACTTCTCGGGTGAAGGTGGGCCCGCCATGGTCGTTTTCTGTCGCTCGGAGTGGGATCGCCTCCAAAAACTCCTCCTTGGAAGACGTGGCAGGGCACCAGCCGGCTGTCCAACGGCTCTGTTGCAGCCTTGCAGAACGAAGCATCTGTGCTGCTTCGCAGTCGGGCACAGCTTGGCGCTGCGATGGGAAGGGCTGGGAGGTGTCAAGGACAGAACAATTCTATTTCGGCAGGACGTCGTCTTCCTGCGGCTGTTTGAATGAACCTTCAAGAAGCACCTAAAAATAGGTCATCCTAAGATCAAAAATGGGAACCCCACATATTCCCTTAGAGATTGTTTTGCTTGATTTGGGGTGAACTTTGGAAACTTTCCGCCACTCTCACGCACGGTCTGGGCTGCCATGAACTGTTTTACGCACGGTGCGATGTTCTACCCCCTCTAGGAGTGGGGGAGCTGTCCAGTGCAGTTGTTCTGGCGATATAAAAATAAACACGTAACATAGATAATTACATCTATATATATATAGTTATATATATATATCATTTGCTCAGCTTGGATTCCGCCCTGGGAAAGAAACATATATCATATACCTTTTCCAATGCTCTACATACTAGGAGGGCAACCAAAGAATTCAAACAAATCCCATACTTGCATCCAACCACCGTTCCCGAGCTAAATGAAGGACCTATCGTCTTATTAAGGACCCAAAAAAACCTGAAACATCCCCAACCTCCCAACCGCTCTCCAACCCACCTCTTTCCCGGATCCAGCTCTCACCCCCACCTGGCACAGGCTGCCAGCTCTCCATTGGAGCTGCCCATCAAGCCCTCGTCCGGGAACTCGGACCTCGGCGGCACCGGAGGAGGGCGGAGGACCTCGTGGCACGGAGACACGACGCATGGGACTGACTGCCATGTGGATCAGTTGGGGTGGTGTCAGGGGGGGGTCAATGGGGCGGCATATATGTGGCATAGATGGAGTGTCTGAGATTGTTTTTTCTGTTTTTTTCCGTTGATCCATCAAACACAGGCTACTGGATCTGTCAAACCAGCTGCCAGAAAAGTCAACAAAAGAGGTCCGTCCAACAGCAACACGGTTAATTAGGCGCCCCAAAGTTGCAGTGACTGGCCCAACATTGGGGAAAATGAAAAACTGACGGCTGGCAATCGATAGAAACACACAAGGAAAGGTCGTGGCAACTACTATGGCAACTCTATTAGCAGTGTTTTGTGCAAGGCTTCTTGCTCGTCAGCTTCCTTCTCCCATTGTTCATCCTCATCCTGTACCACTCTTCTACCCTTCTCCACTGCCACTACGCACATGGAAGCCTCAGCCTCAGCTCCCCGACGAGGCCAGCCCAAGAGCCGTGGGCAGCGGCTCCCCGGAGAGCACCTGCCAGTCTGGTGTCCCGCGGGGGGACGATGGCAAAGACCGGAACCCCCATTGGTAGGACAGTGGCTTTCATCCAGTTCTTCAATGTTCTTATTCTTCGGATATCGGAAGACTCAAGTCAAGTGAAACGCTGGTCTTTGAAAGTCCTCCTTGACAACCAACAAGGAGGTTGAAGATCCGTATAGACTATCCTAGGTACCTCAAAGGAGGTACCTATCCGTACAGGTCGCTTAACCTCTCTTGAAAAGGCTTCAGTTGGTTATAGTTGAATATAGTATTACAGTATATATACGGTACGTTCCTATCTGCCACTCACCACTTTCGCCCAGCAGAACCACCGGACATCACTGAACCAGTCCCTCAACGAGACCGGAGCACCAACAACGCAGTCCACCCCCTTCCTCGGAGAATCCGCGGGAGCAACGCGCCTCCGGTAGTGCTCGGAGGGAGCTCAGTACTTCGGCCAAGCCTCACCGCACTGCTGGGGCATGCTGGGGCCCTTCAGCTGGTTCGTGGCTGATCTACCACAGTCTTGTGCGCTTGGAACAGCTTTGCAACGGGCTACAAAACTGGCTAAAACTGTTCTTATGTCACTTGGATAGGTTACGGGAAGAACTGTTGCTTCTGCTCTATTATGCTGTTCTGATACTCTTTCCTAAGTCTGTAAGTGTCAACAGGGTTGCCATTGCTTCGTGAACCAAACTCAAGGCGACCAACGAGGCACCGACCAGGAGCACTCTGCAAGCCTCACAGCGTGGGACACGAAGTGGCTGGTCTTGCGAGAGGTTGGCTGTTTGAAGGAGGCAGGGCCAACTCAAGCGACAGTAAGGAATGCTGGCCGGGTTCTATTGACGTTGGCTTTGGGTATTCCTATGCCAGCCACCAGGGAGTGTATATGAATTCAGAGAAAACATTCTCATGCATGTATCTCAGGTCATGGCTCTAGTGGGAACATTTGGACATTTGGGTGGCCACTGGTGGAATCCTGAAAGAAAGGTCCGGTCATCCTGACCAACTTGTTACCTCAAGTTTGGCCCAACATTGAAAGAAAGAACGATCAAAAACGGCATAGCAACATGGAATGGCTTATAAGGCAACTGACACACACACACAAAAAACAAAAAACAAAATCTGAAATGACCTGCCCATCTTTTTGTTGAATGCGACGGTGCGCGGAAGCTCTGTGCCGAGAGCGGCCCTTGAAGTGCGAGCTTTCTGTGAAGTCATGGCAGGCCGGGTCACAAGGCAAATACAAAACTACAGTAATTACAATTGATATGATTGAGTGACATCAAGAACGGCTTATAAAGCTAACTGAAGAAGCTGAGTCAATTGGCATGATCCATGGGATGAACGGTGAATACAACATGATCAAAACAAACACATACCAGCAACATCCCCGCAAAAAGAAAGCAAGGTCTTGGTGAAATGTCGACGCTTGTGTTGCACAACCGCATGTTTCCAAATGCCCAGATCGCAATGTATGGTGTCCAAGAATACTGGATTTCCACCCGTAGAAGCCATGTGCTCAGCACTCAAGGCCCGCGAGGCATCGTGACATGCGCACGACATGACACGATGCCTGCTGAACGGTCGCGTAGCGCCAAGTCTCTTGAAAAGTGAATGAGAAGGAGCAGCATGCTGCACAAACATATGATGACATATGTCTCAACATTGGATGGAAGATCCAACATCAAACTTAAACCTGGAATCCGAACGTGACCACTATATAAACGAACGTGACATGGTATGAAATTGTCTGCTCAACAGTGTTAACCTTTACACGCCAGTAAAGTATATTATTATATATATAAATATATGTTTGGTTGGTGTCCGGTTCCAGCTATTCGCGCCATGCTGCAATAGGCTGTGCGGCTGCCCCTTTCTCCAGTCCCCCTGTAAGTGGCCAAACCAGGCAGTTGCGTGGCAGCAAGAGTCAAGTTCCAATGACAAATGACGAAACCAGAACGTGACGTGACATAGAAACCCATGAATCATATGTCTCCAAAAGCTGCCTGAGAAGGGCATCAGGCCTCTCCTGACATCACTGGCGGACAAGTTTTCCAGGACTCTGAATCTGCCTCAGCGTGAACTCTGAGTGGGCATGGCATGGCGGGTATGAGATGATTCGACGAATGATTAATCACAAATCCTAAGTCGATTCAATCTGACCCGAGGTTTCGACCAAAATGGTGATTCCAGTGATCAGTTTTGTGGCCTTCCAGTCCTGAAATCACTTGAAGGCTTTCTGATTTGCTTGCTCAACATGAGGCCTTGGTCCTTGGATAACCCCCCCAGAAAGGGTCCCAACAAGTGAAGGATCTTGAAGATGTGGTGAAGGATACGTAGCCATCCGCTTGCCAATAGCTTTTTAAACATCTGCAACCACAAAACCACAAAACCCAAAGTCACAAACGGTGCTTCAACCCGCCTGGCTGGAAGTTTTTCGATCGGGTAGTCTCTGCAGTTTCCAACAGAAATGCTGGGGTGGCGGTCGTCATTGTTCACAACAAAAACGCTCACCATCACCTGGGCATAGGTTGAAACAACACCAACAATGGCATGGTATAGCCCCAGACGTCCCCGATTCTATTCATGCCTGTGCGGAAGATATATAATATGACATAATATGACTACATGATGTGTTTTCATAACGGGCTCTCCTGGCACTGCAGTTTTTCAGCATTGTTGTGGGTACCTACAACTCACCTCAGCACATGCAAGTGCAATGCGAAAGCCTCAGCCAAGAATTGGCTTGCACGCCTTTAGATGAAACACAAAAACACAAAACAATTCCTAAGAGCCTACCAGGTCTTGGGCTGGCCGGGATGCCAAAAAGACAAACAACACTTCCAGAGTCATGACTGAAGTCTCTCCACCTGAGGATAGACTTCTGGAAACATGTGCCTTTGTTGCTTCCTTGTTTTAGCCCACCGCTTTCCAGTCCCCAGATCTCTGGGACATTGTGGTTCTTAATGGTTCTTTGAAGGTATGTTCTTGCGTTAAGGGGTCGGACCCGGGGACCCGGTGGTGACCCGACCCTCTGTGCGCAATCCGTGTTCGGTAAAGAGGGACAATAGCGTTGTATGTTGGAGGAGGTCTGGATCAGGTGGGATGCAAGTGTAATGTAGGCATGTGTTCCGTAAAGCATGGCGTGTTTGACAAAACGCGAAGGCGCTAAACATACTGTTGAATAAGATATATATATATACCGACGTATACCCATTATCTTAGAGTAAGCAAATCCCGATGAAGGAAGGAACCATAATTCTTCAAAAGGCCGATTCTCAAACTTGCTTCCTGCAAGGACCATTTGTGTAAGACTTTACACATAAATGATGAAATGCAACATCAAAAGGTGCTCAACACACGCACTGCCACGTATGTGCCCACTCTATATGTATATCCGATTGTTGCGATCTCTTGTCGTTTCTTGCACTCTAAAATAGTTCCCACCTTGTGGACTGCATCTCTGGCACACCATTGGTAGTTCCCGTCTTCCAAGTAGAGGCGCACAAACTCGTCCGTGTTGTCGTAGACAGGATCCAAGTGGTTCGCAAACCAATCGAAGCATGCATCACTCTCCTTCACAATGGCATACTTCACCTAACAGGTGCAAAACTTGAGTCCTACGTGTGGGTGAACAAAATGGAAGGGGACTGTTCGTAAACAAGTCATCCACCACATCCATTGCTGAAACAAAAGGCAACTCCCGCAAGCTACCCACTTCATTCCCATCCTACTTCTCACTTTGCTAATCCGAATTCCGAAGACTGAAAAGAACTGAGGCACCAATTGTGGAGCCCTTCCTGAATTACGTGGGAAACAAAGCCATGTCCCTGGCCTGCAAGTACTCTCGAGGTCTTTCGGTAACCTTGAATAAGTGGTATACCTCTTCTAGATTCAACAGCTGCGGAACCGAGATGGCCAAAGCCGTCACCATCGCACCATCGAAGGGTTCCGGATAAGGTGTCTTGGTAATGGTCCTGCCACGGTAGTTGTTGGCATTGAACCAGGTTCCCATCGGCGCACCAGGAAGACAAAGGTCACCATCAAAGTATTCATCCTGGCAGTGGTTGCCCTTCAAGTGGCCATCAGATCGGATTGTTCTGAAGTTCTGAGGGCTCGTTGCATGGACCCACTCATGAACACGCTCTCTTCGCACTGTGGTGGCCATTTCCGCAAAGCAACTAAGAAGCAGCTTGAGCCAACGCTTCAAGACATTTCAAGACCACTACCCACTTGTCAAGTCCAAAAGCACATGTTTAGCGGTGCATGAGTGTATATATTATACTGTATAAAGTTACAGCACATGATGTCGTCCTTCTCGCTGGGTGTTCGTGGCCCACCGACCGAAACCAAACCGGCCAACCGTGCTCAAGAGCCATCGATTCAAAGGCCATCGGAAACTCACATCAATATCATCCACAAATCCATCGCAAAGCTGCACAGCTGGGTGACAGTAATCTCTCGCAGCGGTGAGCTCCAAAGCAGGACCACCAGTCTATGACTCTATAAATGTGATTCAAAGACTGAAGGACTGTTTCGATTAAACCCTCTGGGCCTCGCCCTGTCCCCACTGCCTCGCCCTCGGCCACCCGGTAGGCCGCCGGACCCATCCGGTCGCGTCCCACGAGGTCGAAGCCCAACGAGGTCACCTGACGAGCAGGAGGTGGGTCCCATATGGCCACATGGTTTAGACCATCAACTGGTGAGACATCCAATTACATCAACCTTGTGAGACATCATGTGGTTATTTCTGATGTCTAATTGAGCTGGATGTGGGTTCCAAGATGTTCCAATATACATCTGCCTGAACTAGCAATAGTTAAATACAGTATATGTATAACACTTCAAATCTGACCACCTTGCAGCGCAGCACACCTTACTTGAGATCTGTTCATCCGAGTGTCCCTCCCTCCGCGCCGTTCCAAACCGAAGGTCTACAAGCACCACCCACTCTCGGCACCTCCTTGAGAAGCTGCTCTGAGATGCTCGAGTAGTGCTCGCCCAGCTGCCTTTGGACCTCACCGGGGTCCATTCCAGTGAGCCCAATGCTATGGACGATTACAGGGGATGATAATCATCCAGTTTGAGGTGTTCTGGCCCAAACTTTAAAAAGAACAACCACATGCGCCACAGTCAATGCACAACCCCGGCACTCAAGCTTGTCTTCTTGTCTCCATTTCAGCTTCAGCACCTATTGCACATTCGCGGAATCTCACAAAATCAATTTCCAGTAAAGGTTCTCACCAGGCTCAAGCCTGTGGGTCTTAAGACTGGTATACTTCAGTACTTCGATCCACTTCTACTTACTGCTCCACTCGCCCTCACCTGTGTAATTAAGAAATTCTGTACCCGCCACTGACTCGACGCTGGGAGGCCCTGCCAGCTGCAACAAGGCCAGGCTTTCCGTCTCGCCCTTGGCCTGTGCCCAAGTGGCGGGGGCTGAAGGCCTTCACCCAACACACGAAGTGGACCATGAGCTCTAGTTCACTCCTGTGATGTCATCCACTTGCATGATTGGACATTGGGCCTGAACTCAGATGCATCCCCCTCCAAATCCCATGGACTCCATGCACCCTCCGTTGTGGCCCAGGTTCACACCTCGGCCCGGAGCTCCGCCAAAGTGATCGCGATCTCCGTGCTGAGGGCACCTGTCATTGTCAGAACCAGACTGTCTAGATGGACTTAGGACTGTATGGGGGTGGTGACCACTTATAGATTCCCAAGTTGATTTCAACTACTTGGTCGCGAAGCAGCTCCACCAAACAATTGGAACTGGAAGACCCAGTGCAGCATCATCATTCCATTTCAGGAAAACACATCTGGGGCAAAGCCACCGGCCCAAAAAGCTTGTGGCTAATTTTTTCCCTTGCCAATAGTGAATCATCGAATCCCACGCTGCTCCACAAGCGGATCAAACCTCCAAACCCACTCCGACATATATATCTCCTTCCTCGCAGCCTCACCAGAAGAATCCCAAGAACACCGGTTCAACATGGTTCAACCGACATGACGACGTCACAGTGTCATACGTCGCGGTGCCAAGCGGTCGCCGGGCCCACAAAGCTGGCCCTTGTAGTCCCTCTCAGCTTCTTCTAAGGCCTGGACAATGAGTCACCCATCAGCGCAGTCAACTGAAGAGAGGGAATCTTTTGCAGGGAAAAGCACTGCGTCCTAAGCGTCCTGGTTCAAAATGTCATCCAAGCTGAGTGGCCTTGACTATCCTGCTGCTATGCCCAGTTCTTTCAATGTTTCTATATATTTGGTGGTGAATTATTTATCTGTCCTGGTTGAACATCGTAGTCTCAGGTGAGAATTTTTTGAGTTCCGTCGATTTCTCAGTTCTGCTGGGAAAAACCTTGGGCACCTATTCGACCACGGCTCCATCTACAGGTCGCACCTCGACCACTCGACCTCAGGTCCTCAGATTCACCTGATTTTATAATGGCAAGCCCCTGCTACAGTAAAGTAGACCCATCACAAGAGTTCCGCTGCTTTTTTGCAAAGGTCTTTGTTGCAACACAGGCCTGGATAGTCTGCCAGAAGAATGGACATACCTCTCTATGTCTACATGCTACCACCCTTCAGCAGTTCTGCGTTGGAGCGTTTCAGGACTTTTGTAAGAAAACTCAGGTCAGTAACAGGTTGGTGTGTGCAGGCCACAACTAGGTGACCCCACTGACCCCACTTCAAAGGAATAAGGGAAATGCACTGAAAAACATGGAGCCGTGCTTCAGATCGCTCAACCCATCCTAAGAATCCAGATCGCTTTAAGATTTCCCCTCCCTCTCAAGGTCGTGGCCGTCAAGGTGGTGGCCTTCAGCGGGCTGCGGATGACCAAGTGCCCACTGTCTTCGTGCCCGATCCAGTGAAGCGGACCAAGCTTGTGGCGAAACCCTGTGAGGTGTACCATGTTAGACTCTTGAGGTGTGTCATACCCCCACATGAAGGGGTTCTTTCATTCAAATGGGATGGTTTAACAGTCTTACATGATTGTTTTGACATGTTTTGACATCTTGTAAAAAATGCCCGCCCTTTGGGGTGCCAGGAGAATCCCTACTTACGTAGCACATCTATCTGAGTACATCTGCTCTAGTCTCGGATGGACTAGAAAACGTATGCTCTAGAACGTCCATGGAATTGGGGGACGGTGACATCCTCGAAAAGTGGAGACTGAACCTCGGAGCCTACCCAACATCACACCTTAAAGACTGAGTTGTAGACCCATCACACCTTACGGCATCGGTCATATGGCGTTCAATCGCTGAGGCCTTTCTGTAGTGAAGCAAACAGACTCAGCATGTGCAGGCGTGAACGACGACCCCTCCTTAACATTTCTTAGCAACAACCTGCTCAATCTCTGCCTGCATTTTTCTCCTTATTGGAGCATTCTTCTCGTTTGGTTGTCATATCACGCGATGTCAAACAAATCCCATCAGGAATTCACTGCTTCCTGCTGCCAGGGGTCGAGAAGCTTCAATTTTGCTGCAGCCTCCGCGCAAAACAGCCAGAAATCCTAGGAACCTCTACTGCTATTCACGCGTGCATGTTGCTCTGAAGCTGTCTCGCCAGGTTTCACCGCTTTTGTCTCCAGAGTGAACGGGAGAAGTGAGCAAATTTGAGCGAAGGTGGAGTTTGTACTGTAAACATCTCCTTGACTGAAACAGAAACAGCATGAAACAGCAGTTTTCGATGTTTGTTGATGTTGCTCCAGGACAAAGGCCTCACACAGAAATGCCTTCCTACACCAATCTTGGCCAACTGTTAAGTGTAACTTCCAGCCGGAAAGGATTCTGAATGGAGACTGGGGCCGCATTCTAAAGCCAGCACCATGATGCTTGGACTCCCACAGAGTGCTGTGGAGACTCCGGATTTTCATCCAGCACCGCCCAAAAGCTTCCTGTAAAGAAGCACCACCCGCTGAATGGCGCCAGCCTAACTGCTACCCGGGGCATCCAACATCCGGTTGACACCCGGCACTTCGCCGCAAGGAGCCGCACGCCCCTGCAGCTCCTCCCCCCTGCGCGCGCTGGCGCCTGGTTCAGCAACAGGGAGGAGGCGATCGGATCCTCCGAGGCCTGGAGGTGCGTCTGTTTGTGTAACAGATTCTCGGTGACCCGGTTCTTTGAGAAGGATCGTACAAGTGCGGGGAAGGAACTACACCCCTGGAGGTAGTTTGTTTCTTCCTCATCTGAAAAGAAGGTACGAACAAACTACACCCCCCCCCAAAGGCCCAGACTACAAACCTTCTTTCCGGAGGTGGTTGGAGGCCAAGAGTGATCTGAAGAATGGTCTTTCAGCGGTCTTTAGGTGACTCCAGAAGGATGGGTTCTGTACTTGAATGAGGCTAAATTTAGAATGGCCAGTTCGGCCTGTGTCTGATGTGTGTTCATATCAATGTGGAAACCAAGAAAACCATAAAAACCATATTATTTCATGATTTTAGAAATCAATGAAAACACTAAAAAACATATGTTTTCAATGAGTTTATTATATTTTGTTGATTCTTGAAAAAACAAAAAACATAAAAAATATTTGATTTCAAAAAAACACAAAAATAAACATAAAAATATTAATAAATTAACTGAAAAAAAGGTTCAATAGGTCAATCCAACTGTGACATCTCCACAAACAAACCGACACTTCACAATATCAAATGGTAGCACCTCCCTGAAAACAAATGCGCATGCTGCACACCCAACACTTTTCAAAGGAGTCAGGTCCTGCTGAGACGGTGATCCAGGCAAGCGGCAAACACTAATTAATACTGCCAAGCACTTGCCAACTCATCAGTTGGTGCACTTGACACGAACAAACCTGCAATGTTCCAGGGTTTGCTGAACACATGCACTCGGCCGCTTTCTCGACCCAGCCTTTGGCTTTCTCTTTAGATGTGCCTTTGACACATTCGAAGCTGGTCGGCGGAGCACTGTGGCAGCCTTTGCCTTTGCCTTTGCTCTAGCTGGCGCTGCCCGAGACTTTACTGCTGTCGCCTTTGGCGGCTTTGGGGTCAAACAATCAAAAGGACCAGAGGAGCCCTCAATCCTCTTGGGTCCAACCCAAACAGGAGGTCCAGCAAACGTGGGTGCCAATGGCACAACAAGCTCTCTTTCCCGCAGCTCACATCCAGCCATCAAACACGCCATGATGGATCCAATGACTGGTATAGAGATCGAGTTGCCAGCGATGCGGTTCAGCTCGCGATCCTTGCAGAGGCCAATCATATGATTGGTGGCTGACCCTGGGTTGATTGAACATATAGGAAACACTCTGCTCAGCCTCAACAACAATGCAGAACAGAATCCGGCACAACAATCCGACCCTCATTTGAAGTGGTTCCAGAAGACTTCACCGACAAAGGGAATCCTTGACCTGCAAGAAGTTCACGTCCTAGAATCAATCCTCAGTCAACGTTCAATGTGAATCTGAGGCGAGTAAACAAAACGACTGCAATTACAATAATGTTAAAGAGAATGTCATGTAGTACTCTATATATATAACTACTATATGTGCTAGCTGCTAACTGGTTCCAATGTAATGTATCACGCCACACCCCATGGGCCTGATGTAACCATTAACCAGGAACCAAGTGTCTTCTTCGACCGACATGCCAGTAACGATGGTTCCGGAGAAGGCAGGGTAGAGTGTCTTCATAAGCGTGTTCCTTCCACTGCTGGAAGGTAATGTTGTGAGTCAAGTCCCAAATCAACGGAAGGTCTGTTGATCCACGGTGATGCTCCAACCTCACAGGAAAAAACGGTTCGGTTCGAGTCGAGTCCGGTCATTCTAGTCTAGTCAGCTGAGCCTGAGTCCGAGTTTATTTCTCTCCCTCTCTCTCTTTTTCGTTCTGTCTGTTCTTTGTTCATTTCCTTTTCTATCTTCATCTCAGGCCAAGTGTCGCCCACAAGTGCAAATACAATATATCTTGCTCTCTGGCTGGCAATGTCTTGCTCCAGTGGTTTCCAAAAGTCGCCAGCAATTCCTCATGCGTTGGCACCTGCATATGGGTCTAACACAAAAAGATACAAAAAGACTTGAGGCTTGAGGATTATTGATTTTTGATGGTTAGTTCCGCCCTTCCCCCAACAACTCACCAACATCCACACCCCCCACCCCACACAGAAACATATAGCGTTGCAGTCCCGGCAGTCCCGTCCAGCGACCTCCCGTTCAAGCAACGAAGACAAATGCGCGCGTGCTTCCAAGTGCTTTGCAAAACACTTTGGCCAGGTCTCGCCGGTCTTTAGAGCCACCAACATATCTGCTGGGTTCATCTCCATCTGCTGAAGTTGACTCAACATACTCTGAACTTGTTCGTCGTCATCAGGGAGAAGGGAACTAGCAAACCCCGTGGTCTTCGACATTTTGCAAATGTCCTGCCAATTGGGAGCGTGAGATTGAGACTGAGATGAACACGCAGCTGTGTGCGCTTGGGGGTTTGGGTGCTGCAGGGCGCCCTTGCTGCGCACGTGGGAGCTAAAGGTGTTGCTTTAAGTCTAGTTTTGTTTACGCGCCCTGGCAACGCTGGCTTTACCTTGCACGCATGGCCGCCAGGCCGCTCGACCATGACATTGGATCAAAGGATCCTCGATCCTCGGACCATCAGATCATCGGATCAGGTGACCATCAGATCAGCGGACCATCGGATCAGCAGATCATCAGATCATCGGGTCAGCAGACCGTCTGACCATTGGATCAGCAGACCATCGGATCAT